AACTCATATAATATTGAATTATACCTTTCTTCTGCCTCCATTTCTCACTCCTTGCTCTATGCCCTGCTGTATCAGGCCAAACACTTATCTGATTCAACATCTTGATCCTATAGGTGACAACCAGATATATATATATAAAGACCATAAGCAGGAAATGAGTTTTTGTCTAATGAAGAAAACAATATTTTTAGCTCAAAAGACCCTTGAAACAATATAATTATTCTATTTTTTAAAAAAAGCTTTACATACATCAATTGCACTGTATAAATGAGTATTGATAGCATTACAAATAGAACAAATTTGGTATAGTAGTTAAAAACGCTAGACTAGGAATATGCAGAATTGAATTCTGGAAGAAAAAAGGTACTGAGAAATCATTTTCAAAATACTGCCAAGTAAACTGCATCTCATCAGGAGTTAAGTGTATTTTGAATGACCATAACAAGAACATATTAACAATAGATGGAAAGTCCTTTTCCCTGTAAGCTCTTTCTTTTCTGTTGGTCAAAATGATAAAAAATTAAGTAGTATGAAATTGTATGGAACAGAAGAATGCAGGTAATTTGTAATACATATTTATATCCTCTTTATAACTATCATTTTGTGTACTTCATTAAAAATATGACAGATTAAAACTTGACATTTTGTGTTGATTCACTGATACTAACCCAGATGATGTGATTGCCCTTGGCAAATTTCTAGATCTCTTAATGTGTATCTTATTCACTTAAATACCTTTGTCTTTAATTTTTATCCTTAGAAAACTTGCCACGTTTGATATGTGGAGTTCTTTGGCAGTGCACATAGCCATGGACAATACTGTTGTGATAGAGGAAATAAGTAAGTATCATTGTACTGTTTATAAAAGTGTGTGCCTATTGTTGAAGGGATATGGTTTTTAAGATAATTGGGCTTAAAGAGTCACAAGACATTTGTTAGGTTTACTGGATGCCTGCTGCAGTGTATCAAATCTGTAATTGATTGGTTTGAGTAAGTTTTTATTGGTATTGTTGTTAGAGGTGGATTGCTGAAATAGTGCAATTTTATATTTCAGTATTTATTGTTATGTCTGGTAAAACTGAATTGTTGAGCTCTCAAAGCTAAAGATACAGATCGTTTCTACATATGAAAAAGAAAGTTTTCCTTTTGTAGCTTTATGGTAGCAACAGAATGTGTGGAAGAACCTGCTTCCAGGCTTTGAAATGTTGATTATAAATATTTCCATTATAATAAAATAAGCATTTATATTAGCAATAATAAATGTAAGTAATATGTGGTAGATGTACTGTATGTACGTAGTTCTATTTGCTATTCAACAGTAAATTAGACTATATGGGCATAACCAAGGCTATTTCTGCTGATTTTTTATCTTTTGGCAGGAAGGTTATGCAAGCCCAATTGTCCATGTCCTGGAGCCTCAGCATTTCCTTCTGCAGAATCAGATTTTCTTTCCAATGGTTATCCAGATGGAGATGTATCTACAGACAGTTTATTGCTTTGGAAGCCACTAGTGCTGCTGATACCTCTTCGCCTTGGTCTCACAGATATCAATGAAGCCTATATTGAAACACTAAAGGTATACAATAATTTTAACTACCTGGATATCTGAAACCATGTGGTTTGGTGTATGCATTTTTAATACTTATAATTCTGGTCCATATTCATAATTAACAGTGTTAACTGTGAATGCAATAGCATGTCAAGATAAATTCTTTATAAGGCTCAGAATGTCTGAAATACATGATCTACATATTCAACTGTGCTATCCAGAACTGTCATTATTAGAGCAGCTCATTCTGAATAGATAGAATTGTTTTAGTGATTGTTGCAGTGATTTAAATATGCAGGTACCTAATGCACATTTGTAATCATCCTAGTTCTATTTAATAATTCAAGGTCATATATTTTTCTCTGAGCTAATTCTAAACAAGTGTATCTTCATTGACTAATATGATTAAACTACAAACTTGTATAAACATTTTCCTGAGAATAGAGCTTAGTTTTGAGTAAATACTATGCATAAAATTGTGGTGGTGGTATTGTGTGTAGGGAGCCAATCATCATTTCGTGCTACCATTGTCAGTCACCCTTTATTGGAGTTTACTAATTATATAGTTTTGACACTGTTATTTCATGAAAACTATTGCACTGTAAATGGCTTTCCCCTGTGGTTTCTTGTCTTAAAAATGCCCAGTGCTGAAGTAACTTGTTTGAATGTTCAGTAGTGGATATGTGTAAAAAAACCTATTCTGAATTGCTGTGTAATGCCCTTTATTGTGAGTGTTGTTTTCCACTGTGATTAATTGTGCATATATTACTTTCCAGCATTGTTTTATGATGCCTCAGTCCTTAGGTGTGATTGGAGGAAAACCGAATAGTGCTCATTATTTCATTGGATATGTTGGTAAGTTTAAGCTGTATATATGCTGAATATATTAATGAGTATGGATCTGTAAGATATTTCAAACCATTTTCTCAGGTGCAAATCAGCTGCTGTTAGCCAAGGTAGACTAAACAAGGCTTAGTGCTATTTATTGACATATCTTGAAGCATTCTTCTTAAGAGGACGAGACGAAGGTGAAGAGGACATGGGGTCTTAAGTTTATATTTATACTATGTAGGAAACATCTGTTTGTGTTCAAACCTAGTCATTCCTAAAATCTATATTCCCTCAAACTTTGATCTGTAAAAAGGTAACTTCTTACATGATTATGCAAAAATGTATTGAACTTTGTTTCCAGCCTGTACTATGATAAAGTGGTTTGACAATCTTTAACCTGTATTTTTGGAGACTATTAAGATTATATAACAAGTTTCCTAGTAACACAGAATTACACATACACAAAATTCGAGGTAGTCCTTGAAATTATAACCACCCATTTAGTGACTGTTTGAACTTAGTGACACATAAAAAAGTGATTTATGACCATCTTTCACACTTAAAGACTATTGAAGCATCCCCATTGTCATGTGATCAAAATTTGGGCACTTGGCAACTGGCATGCATTTATGACAGTTCCACTGTCCTGGGATCATATCACTATTTGTAACTTTCCCAGATAGCTTCTGACAAGCAATGGGAGAAGTCAAATTCACTTAACAACCAATGATTCACTTAGCAATTGCCAGAACAAGGTCAAAAAGCAAGATTTGCACATGATAGTAAATCCTATTATGTTGTTCAAAAGAGGAGTAAGAGTACTGCAGAAATGTCAGTATAGGAAAACATGCTTCAACCTGTTCTAAGTCCAGGGGCATAGTCCTGGCAGATAGGGTATCTTCCTACATCTTCTAGCAATGCTGAGGAGAAAGCATTTCATAAGGCTGGAGTGAAAACCCTTCTGAGTTAGAACATTTACCTGGTATTTCATATGTATCTTATTAGCCATGAGAAATTGAGAAGTATTGCCTGCATTGATTTGATGATCTATATCAAACAGTTGCTTCTTAAATGTTACTGTTACCTGCTCATAACCTAAATAGAACTAGGCAGGAGAGGAAAAGTCATAGGAGCAAAAACTTGTGAATTTGCTTGCTTCTACTTGCTTTGGAAGCTAACCTAAACCTGATGGAAGAAGTGTTTACTTCAGCCAGTAATTTAATGTGGTCTGCGCATTCTCATCTCCACACTTGCCATTCCAACCCCATATGCATTAGGTGGAGGACTCAAAATTGCCCTTAGAAATTTGGATTGTGTGAGTTTCAACGAAGAAAGATTGTGGAGTGTTCCAAACTATGTACTACATAGTAATTATGCTAGAGGCTTGGCTTAAAAAGCTTAAGAGCTGCAGGTGTTTATATTGGCCTTTACTAGAGTAGTAAAATTTTAAAATATCCACTGCCCTTTTATGTGCATTCTATGTAACATAGTTAGCAGCAGCCATTTTCTTTCCATTAGTTTGGAGGACCACTGCTAGGTATTTATTTATCTAGCATTTGTTCAGTGGCATTATTGTTGATAGGCCTGGGGAGCCTTTTGGGTCAATTGGCAAATGCAGTCATTTTTTGGGGGGATGGGGCACTGTAATTAATTCCCAATTATTCCTTTTTATTTAGCTGTACAAAAACATTCAAGTCCAATAGGGGTCCTTGAAGGAGTACTGCATCATATGTTTATAACTTAATAATTGAATGAATAAATAAACAGAATAGCAATATGCCTCTCTACTGTTTGGGTAGTTGAAAATTCAGATTATCAAGTCAGTCTACTACTTCGTTTGAATACAATTTGAATACAAAAGGTGCTGATGTACAGTTCTGTTTTACAGCGTTGGCAGCTGGAATGGGGTACTGTCAGATATCCTTCACAATGACATACAGTATTAGAATATTTTGTTGTGGTTCATGAATAAGAAATCAGTCAGTGATCAGTGGTGGTATTATACACCTTTTGGGATAGTTTTGTCTGAGACATGGAATCAAGATAAAGGCAGGACCGAGATACTACTCTAGGGCTATATTTCTCAGTAAGATGTTCAAGTAAAAGGCACTGGTCAATTGTAAAGTGACCTTCTCCAAAGCAGCTTGTTCTTTTGCAGGTAATCTTTTAAGTTTCCAATGGATATATCTCACATAGAGTTTACTGATAATATTAAGGAGCTTGTAGATACATGATCTTTTCATTGATCTTTATTTAGGTGAAGAACTAATCTATCTTGACCCACACACTACTCAGCCTGCAGTGGATCCTGTAGACAGTTGCCACATCTCTGATGAAAGCTTTCATTGCCAGCATCCGCCTTGCAGAATGAGCATTGCAGAACTGGATCCTTCTATTGCAGTAGTGAGTATGCATACCTGAAGTTCACTTTCCTATCAAGGGAGTGCTATAATTTCGGACAATCCTCTATTTCAGGGGTCTCCAACGTTGGCAACTTTAAGACTTGTAGACTTCAACTTCCAGAATTCCTCAGCCAGCAAAGTAAAGCTGGCTGAGGAACTCTGGGAGTTGAAGTCCACAAGTCTTGGAGAGACCCCTTGGTTGGAGACTCCTGCTCAAATTAGCTACTGATTCCTCTTTATGAACGTATTCTGTTGTGCTCTCCCTGTTCATCATAAAATTAAATATATTCCTGTTTTGAAGCATGAGAAATAATTATTTCCAGATTACAATAGTTGCGGCTTTTAGATTACAGGTAACAGAAAAGAGACATGTATCCTAGATAAATCTAGACAAGTGAATGGTCAGATGCCATATTCTTTACATTATATTACAATATTACAAGTAAAGATCATCCATTGAAATTTAATGTAGGGCGATTCAGGAGAGACATAATTTCATATAGAATCTAATTAAATATAGAATGTTCTCCCTGTAAATATAATGGCAAAACACTGGGGTGGTTTTAGAGGAAACTTGTCAAGTTGATGGACAATCAGGCTATCAGTGCCTACTAATGTTGATGGAATCATAGGCAGCTTGTCTTAAATACTAATTACCGGGAATTCATATTGCCCACCAAGTACAAGCTTGTGAGCTTTCCAAGTACATCTATTGGCCACTCTGTAATACTGAATGCTGGAGAAGGATTCATGACTTATCTAATAGGGGTCTTCTTAATTTAAATCTGTTTTAGAATAATAAAAATATTGTCATTATAGGGATTCTTCTGCAAGAAAGAAGAAGACTTCAGTGACTGGTGCCAGCAAATCAAGAAGGTTTGTATGTAGTTTTTTTGTAAAAAAAACAACACAAAAATGGTCAGAACTAGGACGACAACTGATTTTTTAAAAAATAATAATAAAAATGAACGCATTTGGAAGAGTTAGGGTAAAATGAGTTAGTTTTAAAAGACTAGCAATCTTGTCAAGATACCTTTTGTCAATGTCATCATATGTTAGCTCTGTTAGATATCTTTTTTAGAGGTTACAGCTTTTCTGGATTGCCTAATCATTAGGCAATCATTTTACTATTATAGGATAGATGAATCAGTGGGCTTTATTTGATATTGACAATGTTTTACCTCCTTCAGAGATATCCATTGAATATTTGTTTTTTAAAAGTTATAAAATATGGGAAATGTACAAATAAAAGTACTTCTGTTATCTTGAAGCATCTGGTAAACAAAATCTAAGATTTACCATGGAATTATTTGTTTATGTAAGAAATCAATGCTGGTTTTGTCCCATGTCTTCAAAGGATCCAGATAATCATCCTCTTGGAGGGTGCTGTATAATTGCCCTCTAATAAATCTTTCCTTTTTGGAGTCAGGGTGAGAGTTGTCAAAAATGGTTGAATCTATGGAGGCGTATTAAGGAGGGGACACAGGAGTTTCTTTCAGTTGCCTCTTGAAGTGAAGTGCAATCTGTAGAAGAACCAGGAATGGGGTGGGCATCTAAGCCACAAGAACTCCACCCATTCATGAAGAGATAAGAAATTAGGGGAAAATGTTTAAAAGATAAGAAATTGAAATTTTAATGTATAACTTTATGTGTAATGTACTATGCAAACTGGTCCTAGTAGCTGGGTGGGAAATTACTTTCCACCACCTCCCAAGAAGAGAGCTGGTTACCTTAAACAAGAGCACTGGCCAACAGCCCACCAACACACTCAAAGAGGAAAATAAATTCCTCTTCACCCCCTCCAGACATTACTTTGGCCTCGTCGCTTACAAGGAGCTCCTCAGTCCACTAGGAAGCCATCTGCCAATAGAAGGAGGCTGGTCTCAGCAGGTGTCTGCATCATCCCCTATTGCCAGTGAACATAACTGCCCACATGATCACTGGGGAATTCTCCCAAATTCCCGCTTGAAACGATGAAATCCGTAAGGCACCTGAAACAAATCATCTTAACTCTGAAACATTCAATGATAAAACATGAAATAACCATATCTCAATTGGTCATTTTGCAAGTTTCATTAAAATCAACAGGTCCTCAGCTAGTTACAATTATCCATCCTATTTGCTTGAGATTGAAGCCCAAGATTTTTCTGCATTTCATGTAAGGTACATTAAAGGCATCAAACTAAATCCTAGGCAAGGAACTTTGGGAATGTAGTTTCAAGAATAAATATACAAAATAGGGTAAAGAGCTGGATATTGTGATGGAAATCCTGTAACCTATTATTAAAGTATTAATTTAATGATAGTGTGCTAGAAACAGTATTTCCACGCCAGTTGTATTTAATGCAAAATAGATTTTAGGTTGCAATAAAATGATTGGATAGAAAGTTCAACAATGAAATATGAAATTGTTTAGACAGTAAAATAATATTATTAGCTTTAAATCTCTAGAAGGGCTTTGAGCAATAACTAGTTGTAGCACTTCTAACATTGCTTTCGCTTTCAAGAAGCTAACATTTTTTAGTATTTAAAGAGGATGGAACAAGAAAATATTACACAGTAGCAAAGTCTAAATGACCTAATTTCTTTAAAATGCATGCAGATTTGATTTGTGACAGTAACAACTTCCCTACTTTTGTATATTAAATCAATAGTGGAAAAAAGAAAGGGGAACCTAATTGTACATTACAGGAATGGGGGGGAAAGGTTAAAAAAATTAAGCTCATCCAATAGGTCTCCCTTGGTGAGATAGTGGATATAAATATGATTAATATAAATAAGCATACATTTCACAAATATATATAAAAAGCAAAATTCCTAGTTTTCCAGCATCTGCACTAATCCTCATTTTAGAGGTAATTTGCAATACAACAATGCATCTTTAAATAAAATTGCATTTGCAACTCTGCATGTTAGGGGAAAATGCACACAAAAATATACATTCAAATTTGTACAAGCTAACATATAAGGATAGATTAATGTAATGAAAAACAGTGGAATCAAACTATATAAATTTGCCCTCTTTGGGTTCAAATCTCACTTGAAACCTGCTGTCTTGCTGGCTGCATTAATTTGTGTTCTTAAGTGGGACTGTGTACATTCTATTCTCAAATACAGTATATTTTCCTGTGCTTTTATTACTTTGTTCTTTTTTATTGTTGGAAGCTGAAGAGTTATACCAAGTATGTAAAACCACTATACTTTTCAGAAGAACATTTTTTTTTTTAGTATTGCAATATGCTGTGCATTCACACATTTTAAGCAAGTCTTTAGAATCATAAAGACTGGAAATTAATTTGTTCTGTAAGTGAAACTGTGAACTGAAGGTGCATTATTTATATCAAATATTCAATACCCCTAGAAATAGCAAAGGAATGTAACTGTTTTTAATATATTTCTAACAGTTGTCACTGATTAGAGGAGCCCTTCCCATGTTTGAGCTAATAGAACATCAGCCTTCACACTTCTCTAGTCCTGATGTCTTGAATCTCACTCCAGGTAATGTTCATTTATTTGGTTATAGAAGGAATGAACATTGTATGAATGAAGGAATTTTAATATTTGGAGTTTTTATTTAATTCCGGATAAATTATGATAGCATGTTTCTTCATTGCCTAAGAAAGATTACCAGCTTTCAAAATTGATATTTGATCTTTAAAAATCATTGGGATTGTTTTTAGATGCAGTTCCATACTATAATATTCTAATGTCAGCTGTATCAGATAACCAGACTATGAAACAGACAGACATTGTGCAGATCTAAAGTTACTTTTATCAGAACAGCTATAGCAGGGGTGTCAAACTCAATTTCATTGAGTGTTGCATCAGGGTTGTGTTTGATCTCAGGGCAGCGGGTGGACATGGCCAGGGTGGGCGTGGCCAGCTTGACATCACTCATGTTGAGAGCACCTGTGGTGGCCTGGGCGGGGCTGGCAGGATCCTGCTGCAGCCCTCTGCCAGCCAAAATGGAACCCGGGAGGACCAGGCTCCATTTTGGCTGGCAGAGGGCTGCAGGAGGCCGTCGCAGTTGAAAACAGAGCTCGGGAGGACCATGTGCGGCCCTCCCAAGCTCAGTTTTTGTTGGCAGAGGTACTGCAGGCCGGTCCTTCACTATTTCCGGGGTGGCCCTACGGGCCAGATATAAACACCCTGCAGGCCGACACCCCTGAGCTTGACACCCCTGAGCGACAGTAACAGAATCGTGCAGGTTTAACAAAACTTCCCTCCCTTTTATCTTCATAAAAATTGGAGAGGGTGGCTGTCTGAGGCATTTTCTCAAAGCAATTTTTTTCACCTGGACCCACATTTGGTGAGGGGAGTCTTCCATCCAGGGAGTCATCCTCTTTATTCATTACATTGTTATTGTTTCATAAAATGCAGTGATTTATAAAATAATTACTTCTAAATCCTGCAAAGTAGAGTAGCTCTTGCAGGATTTTTGTTGTACTTTAGCTTTTCATTCCTGTAAAAATTTCTGAAAATAGATAAGGAAGGCTAAGTTATCATTCTACCCATGTACTGTGGCTGATGCAAATTGAATTACCATAGACCATGTGCATTTGCTAAAAATAAGTTAAACTGACTGGCATTACCTAGTGTTTCTATTATTCAGAACGCAAAACACAGCTGGTGTTTTGCATAGTTTATATTTTAATTATGATTAAATGTGTTGTGGGAACAGTCTAAAAGTAATACTGAGGCATATAAATCATTCATCTCTTGTAGATTCTTCTGATGCAGACAGATTGGAAAGATTCTTTGATTCGGAGGATGAAGATTTTGAAATCTTATCACTCTAACAAAAGAAACTACAATAACTGCCAATTTGGGTTGAGGGGGGAGGGGAGCTCCTTGGAGAGCCTTGGGCTACCAGCTTTCATAGGTGCTTGTTGACATCCTTGCCTCCCATTTACCCCAGCATTCTGTGCAACCTTGGAGCAGAGTGGATTTTTGCAGTGGGATCAAGAAAACGGGTCGTCATTAAGGCCTTAATAGCTTTAGTTACTTTTTCAGTGCAAGGATATCCATGGGAACGGGATGCAAAGTTTCCTAGGAGCTGGAAATTATTTTCATAGGAACAGACACAGGCACAAAGGCTTGACTATAATAGTAAAAGCCCTTCAGAGTGTTTGGCTTAAGTCTCTCTATTATTAGCGGGTCTTATTACTTCTGTTCCCATTTTTATAGTGTGAAATGAAAACCAGCATAACAGCTGTGAGACAGGTATCTGCGTTATGTCTCCCTAACCAGCCGGCCATGTTCTGAATTATTTGGGGCCACAAGCTCCCTCAAGATTGACTACACCAAATGTTCCAACTTGTACTTTAGATTTTCTCTAATACAGTGCTTCCATACTTTTGGTTTCAAAGTTGCAATTTATTTTTAAAAATATAATAGTCTGCATTCTAGCAATCACAAGAGCATATCATACGGAACATGTTAAAATATGTTCTAAAGATGACAAGAGAACATCACTACATAATAATATGGAAGGCTCTCAGTTATTCACTTGACTCTTCTCATAGTATGCACAAACAGAATGGTGTTATTCAGATTTTGCTTCGTTATACCTAATTTTTATTTGGACATTTTTCTATTTTGTATTGAAAATATGGCTGCTATTTAATAAAATGAGGTGAAAACATCCATTAGCTCACGAATTAAAAGTACTTCTGATTCCTCCTTTTAATAAAGTTTAGACTGTTCATGGACACAAATCTTGCATTAACAGCTATTTTAACATCACGATTTTAGGCCAAAGGTGTGTTCTCATCTCCCCCTTTTTGAAAGTACTACACAAGGCTATTTATATTGTGTGTCTTTATTTGTTTTTCATTTGTTTCAGTTCTTATAATGAAATTCTAACGAAACTTAAAGCAAATTCTGCATCCCTTAAATGATTAGCTTTCTGGCCAGGATTTCCAGCCTATTATATTCCAAAATAGCAGAAGAGCTCCTCTGTTTCTAAAAGGTAGGAATGGCTGGCAAGAACCCCATCAGTTCCAAGCATTAGCTCAATCAATGGATGTTGCAGTAGCAAATATGTTTACAGAGCATTCTTGCCTGCATTTATAAGCAGAACTGTCAAACTACAGATGGTACTATAGCCATCTATAAAGTAATTGCATATAGTAGGTCCAGTTGCCTATTTAGCTACTAGAAATCAAATTTGAACCATGTTGCTTATTTGTCATTGTTATAGCTTGCTGTGCTTCTCCTTCTTTTGGAAGAAGAGCATAGTCGGATTGTGTTTCATTCATCAACTGCTTTCAATTTGTATCTGAATAAAACAAATTTAAAAAGGCTTTTGTATTCCTGGTACTTTTTTCTGCACCACTGATTGAAAGTAAGATAAATTTAAAAGAGAATCAGAGTTTCTTTTAATAAAAGCTCTACAGGTGAAACTCAAAAAATTAGAATATCGTGCAAAAGTTCAGTTATTTCAGTAATGCAGCTTAAAAGGTGAAACTAATATATGAGATAGACTCATTACATGCAAAGCGAGATAGTTCAAGCCTTGATTTGTCATAATTTTGATGATTATAGCTTACAGCTCATGAAAACCCCAAATTCACAATCTCAGAAAATTAGATTACATAAAATCAATAAAACAAGGATTGTACATAGAATATTGGACCTCTGAAAAGTATAAGCATGCATATGTATTCAGTACTTGGTTTGGGCCCCTTTTGCATCAATTACTGCCTCAATGTGGCGTGGCATGGATGCTATCAGCCTGTGGCACTGCTGAGGTGTTATGGAAGACCAGGATGCTTCAATAGCGGCCTTCAGCTCTTCTGCATTGTTCGGTCTCATGTCTCTCATCTTTCTCTTGGCAATGCCCCATAGATTCTCTATGGGGTTCAGGTCAGGCGAGTTTGCTGGTAATCTCATAGTCATTGAACCAGGTTTTGGTACTTTTGGCAGTGTGGGCAGGTGCCAAGTCCTGCTGGAAAATGAAGTCATCATCCCCATAAAGCTCGTCTGCGGA